CAGCTTAAGAGGGAGACGAGCTCGCTTCCATCGAAGCCAACTTTAAACGAAAAGGGCTTTCTTGGTACCTATAATGCTGTCACAGGGTCCTGATTTATGGCTGCGGACGGCGATGACGGAATTTAGTTTTGGAAAAGCAAACACATTGTTCATTTGGTGTTCCTGTGTTGTGAAAGGTTAATTTAGAGAGATGTGCGGCTGCTGTGATAATGGTGGCCGTCCATTGCGGGGTTGTTTTGTATGCAGACAGCCAATAAGCAGGTGTTGCGTAAAACAATCTTGCAGATTCTGGGGTCTTTCTACTGTTGTGGTTTATGAGATCATTATATTAAGTTGAGATAAGCTGGGTCGACAGGAGTGGGTCTCCAGTATGGGTCTCCGATATGTGGGTCTTGAGGGAGGTTACTGAATTTTTGATGAGATAATATCAGTTTTGAATGAAATTATGTTGAGGGTCTACAGGGGTGGGTGTCCATTGTGACCAAAGTATATGTGTCTTTTGGGAAGGGACTGTATTTTGGTAGAGGTCATAATTTCAACCTGAAATGTGTTCAGGGTCTACATAAAGTGGGTGTTGAAGATAACCAAATTGTACAAGGCTCTTGATGGAAGGTACACCTTAGTGACCAAATTGTACAAGGCTCTTGTGACCAAATTGTACAAGGCTCTTGATGGAAGGTACACCTTAGTTGAGGTAAGAAGATCATTTTGAGACAGTCCAAGGCTCTCTGCAGAAAGTATATTCATGTGATGCACCCCAATTTGAATTCTAGCACAAATTGGGTCCTGGGGTCTGCAGTTTAGAAGAGTAAACTTATGACCTTGATAGCATGTCATTGTTGATGATGATGAGGGTGTTGCTCATTATTTCAACCCCTAGTTCACCTGACCCAGACTTAATTATATACAGGCTGCCATGGAATAACTTGAATACTGCTGACTTGAGGTAGCAAACAAAAGATGTGATAAGTCTTATATCATCCTTACAGATATAATACAGGTCACAAATGAATAAGATTTCCTTAAATACTTCTCGCATGATACCTTTGAATTCATACATTCTGTCAAATCATACTCGAGAAATCAAACTTAGCTTATACATTTAATTGCTATGATTATCTACAGGGAACATGAGGCGGTGGGGTAGAATAGTGGTTAAAACATTTGCTCATCATGGCGAAGATCCGGGTTCGATTCCCCACATGGGTACAATGTGTGAAGACCATGCTTGTCATAAGAGGCGACTAACGGGATCGGGTGGTCAGGCTCGCTGACTGTGTTGACACATGTCATCATATCCAAATTGCGTAGATCGATGCTCATGCTGTTGATCACTGGATTGTCTTGTCCAGACTCGATTATTTACAGACCGCCGCCATATAGCTGGAATATTGCTGAGTGCGGCGTAAAAGTAAACTCACTCACTCACCTTGGTTCAATTCCAAGAATGGGTAGAATGTGTGAAGCCCATTTCTGGACTATTTGCTGGAATATATCTAAAACTATACTCACTCACTACAGGGCAATTTGTAATTCTGATGATGGGAGATCCAAGCAAAATTGTCAAAATGAATGAAACAGGATTAAGAAGTGGCAGGTCACAGTGTATGCTTGTTGCAAGGACCACAATGATTTCATCTCGCTGGTTTATGGTGTTGGCAAGACAAACGATGCCATGCCAGTGAATCATGTTTACATTGATATAGCCGTTAGCTCGCAGGTCTTGTGTCAATATGATCAGAGTGAAGCTGTGATCAGTGGTACCTGGGGATGATACGCTAACAAGTGATAGCTCCGCTTACAGCTCGTTGTGTCACAACTCTGTATATGTAATGGCTGTTATAGAGCTCAGATTCAACTGTTTTACTGATGTGAATCTCGATCGCAGACTTTGTGGCAGTTCTAGGATCTGTTGTTACCCAGCAACTGACACGGGCTGCCAGAGTGAGAGTTGGCAGTATTTCAACCATTTTGTGACTAGATCAAGTTATAGTATTCTGCGATAATATTAAACAATACATTTCAAACTAAAAGCTGTCAACAACGGACAGTGAAGTAACTAGATGATCACAGATAGAAATTTAAAACTAGTATGAAAATCTATTAAAATGAAACTATAGAAGACAAAACAAAATAAACAGGCTATTGGTTGCCTGGTAGATGACCATACTAGAGACCATGAATTTGCTTCCCCGCAGGCTACTATAGAGACCATGGGGACTTACAGTACACTTCCCCGCAGGCTATTGGTTGCCTGGTAGATGACCATACTAAGACCATGGGGACTTACAGTACATTTGCTTCCCGCAGGCTATTGGTTGCCTGGTAGATGACCATACTAGAGACCATGGGGACTTACAGTACATTTGCTTCCCGCAGGCTATTGGTTGCCTGGTAGATGACCATACTAGAGACCATGGGGACTTACAGTACATTTGCTTCCCGCATGGACCCTAGCTGGATTTACATCATCCCTTTAGACGTTAGCAATTGTAGGTCAAGGTCAGGCTTGGCTACTTGACAGTGTTTCCCTATTGGTGCTCATGATATCAGTCACTGGATTGTCTGGTCAAAGCCTGATGCTTATCAGCCACAATCATGCAGTTGGAATATTGCTCAGTGTGGAATGAAAAAAACTAGCAAAAATGTATCTTATATAAATAAACAACTATTTTAAAGAAAAGATCTTCTCATGCTTGTGTTGTATTGAAGATCTTTCCAAAGGAGAAGGGCGGTGGGGTAGCCTAGTGGTTAAAGCGTTGGCTCGTCACGCCGAAGACCCGGGTTCGAATCCCCACATGGGTACAATGTGTGAAGCCAATTTTCTGGTGTCCCCCGCCGTGATGTTGCTGGAATATTGCTAAAAGCGGCGTAAAACCAAACTCAGTCAGTCAGTCCAAAGGACAAACATGAAAACTAAGCATGACATGATCAGCATCAGTCCCATGCTTGTCGTAAGAGGCTGACTAACAGGATCGGGCTTGGTCAGGCTCGCTGACTGGGTTGACCATGTCATCATATCCCAGCTTAGTGTATCGATGCTCATGCTGTTGATCACTGGATTGTCTTGGTCCAGACTTGATTATTTACAGACCGCCGCCATATAGCTGGAATATTGCTGAGTGCGGCGTAAAAGTAAACTCACTCACTCACCTTGGTTCAATTCCAAGAATGGGTAGAATGTGTGAAGCCCATTTCTGGACTATTTGCTGGAATATATCTAAAACTATACTCACTCACTACAGGGCAATTTGTAATTCTGATGATGGGAGATCCAAGCAAAATTGTCAAAATTAATGAAACAGGATTAAGAAGTGGCAGGTCACAGTGTATGCTTGTTGCAAGGACCACAATGATTTCATCTCGCTGGTTTATGGCGTTGGCAAGACAAATGATGCCATGCCAGTGAATCATGTTTACATTGATATAGCCGTTAGCTCGCAGGTCTTGTGTCAATATGATCAGAGTGAAGCTGTGATCAGTGGTACCTGGGGATGATACACTAACAAGTGATAGCTCCGCTTACAGCTCGTTGTGTCACAACTCTGTATATGTAATGGCTGTTATAGAGCTCAGATTCAACTGTTTTACTGATGTGAATCTCGATCGCAGACTTTGTGGCAGTTCTAGGATCTGTTGTTACCCAGCAACTGACACGGGCTGCCAGAGTGAGAGTTGGCAGTATTTCAACCATTTTGTGACTAGATCAAGTTATAGTATTCTGCGATAATATTAAACAATACATTTCAAACTAAAAGCTGTCAACAACGGACAGTGAAGTAACTAGATGATCACAGATAGAAATTTAAAACTAGTATGAAAATCTATTAAAATGAAACTATAGAAGACAAAACAAAATAAACAGGCTATTGGTTGCCTGGTAGATGACCATACTAGAGACCATGGGGACTTACAGTACATTTGCTTCCCGCAGGCTATTGGTTGCCTGGTAGATGACCATACTAGCCATGGGGACTTCATGGACCCCATAGCTGGATTTACATCATCCCTTCAGACGTTAGCAATTGTAGGTCAAGGTCAGGCTTGGCTACTTGACAGTGTTTCCCTATTGGTGCTCATGATATCAGTCACTGGATTGTCTGGTCAAAGCCTGATGCTTATCAGCCACAATCATGCAGTTGGAATATTGCTCAGTGTGGAATGAAAAAAACTAGCAAAAATGTATCTTATATAAATAAACAACTATTTTAAAGAAAAGATCTTCTCATGCTTGTGTTGTATTGAAGATCTTTCCAAAGGAGAAGGGCGGTGGGGTAGCCTAGTGGTTAAAGCGTTGGCTCGTCACGCCGAAGACCCGGGTTCGAATCCCCACATGGGTACAATGTGTGAAGCCAATTTTCTGGTGTCCCCCGCCGTGATGTTGCTGGAATATTGCTAAAAGCGGCGTAAAACCAAACTCAGTCAGTCAGTCCAAAGGACAAACATGAAAACTAAGCATGACATGATCAGCATCAGTATGTTACAGTCTTGTTCTTTAACATATTATGAGAGGAATGGCAATGGGGTAGCCTAGTGCTAACTGCATTCACTCATCAGACAGAAGACCTTGGGTACCTGTGAAGGTCCAGCTTAGAATTGATCTTCAGTAACCCATGCTTGTCGTAAGAGGCGACTAACAGGATCGGCTGGTCAGGCTCGCTGACTGGGTTGACCCATGTCATCGTAATCCCAGCTGCGTAGATCGATGCTCATGCTGTTGATCACTGGATTGTCTGGTCCAGACTTGCTTATTTTCAGACCGCCGCCATATCGCTGGAATATTGCTGAGTGTAAAAGTAAACTCACTCACTCACCTTGGTTCAATTCCAAGAATGGGTACAATGTGTGAAGGCCATTCCGGGTGTCCCCTGCCATATTGCTGGGATATTGCTAAACGTGGCCTATAACTAAACTCACTTACATTTTGTATATTATGACAGGTTCAAGATGCAGTTTGACTTTGACTTCAGTGTTCTAATTAACATGTGTTATTGTTCCAGCTCCCTGGAGATCTTCCACTGGCAGTTTGAGGTTGAGGACAGCATCATGAGCCCTGAAAATGGCCGCATCATCTGGACCATCGACTACGAGAAGAATGCCCCAGCACTCAACTCCTACTACCCCCCTCGCAACTCCCGCGTCACCGCACGCATCAAGATCGCAGGACGCTACCATGAAAGAATTGTCCCTGTTTTCAAGGTCAGTTTCATGTAGATAGATTATTTTTCTATTGTTTTGCATGTTCAGAATGTCCACTGAATTCCTGGTTCAGCTGGGCGGTGGGGTAGCCTAATGGTTACAGTGTTCGCTCATCACATGAAGACCTGAGTTCGATTCCCCACACGGGTACAAAGTGTCAAGGCCATTCTGGTGTCTCCTGCAGCGATATTGCTGGACTATTGCTAAATGTGGCGTAAAATCACACTAACTCACTCACTCCTGGGCCTTGTTTCACAAAGCTATTGCAGCGCTACGACTGTCGTAAGTCTATGTTACAGTAAAGGAGGTACGACTGTCGTAAGTCTATGTTACAGTAAAGGAGGTACGACTGTCGTAAGTCTATGTTACAGTAAAGGAGGTACGACTGTTGTAAGTCTATGTTACAGTAAAGGAGGTACGACTGTCGTAAGTCTATGTTACAGTAAAGGAGGTACGACTGTTGTAAGTCTATGTTACAGTAAAGGAGGTACGACAGTCGTAAGTCTATGTTACAGTAAAGGAGGTACGACTGTCGTAAGTCTATGTTACAGTATAGCAGTTTCGACAGTCGTAGCGCTGCGATAGCTTTGTGAAACGGGGCCGTGGTTCAGAATCAACTGCTGCAACAATGCCTTAATGTCATCCTGACGGTTTCAATCCTGGACCCAAGGTCTGGATGTTAAGGCATCGCTAATGGAGGAAAGTAAATTTTGCAATGAACATCTAGTTTAATGAGTGTGTGCTGGGTCTCATCATTGACAACATTAGGAGAATTGTTACGAGGTACTGTACAGAGCTGCCTGCGAAATGTCTTCATGGCCAGCTTAATGCCTTGCTCCAGAGCAGCCATTAATGAGTCGCAGTCTTCAAACCCCTGGCCATGTGGTGTAAACGTCTCTTGGGACATTCAGTAGACTGTTTGTGAGAATCTGACGATCACAAGTAGGAAAGTACATTCAGGAGATTATGCAGTCTAAATGCGGAGTTGTGTCCCCTTTGGTCAATATGGCCACTGCAGCTGGTCCATACAATTTCAAATGTGACATGAGGGAGTATAATCCCATACCCTCTCTTTGGGGCCCTAACAAAATTGGGACCCATTATTTTTCACACAAGATCCAGGTTAGAATTGATATTCAGTAACACAAGCTTGTCGTAGAGGTGACTAATGGGATCGGGGGTGTCAGGCTCGCCGACTTGGTTGGCATGTGTCATCATTGATCAATGCTCATGCTGTTGATCAATGGATTGTCTGGTCCAGACTCGATTATTTTCAGACTGCCGCCATATAGCTGGAATATTGCTGACTGCAGCGTTAAACATCAACATCTTCCTGAGACTACAATATCTTTTGCATGCATCGTAATAAGATCTTGTTTATGGAAATTGACGTGAAATCACATTTCATTGTGACGATTTTTAATTAATGTTCACATATGTGTGTCTTATAACGCTTAACAAATACCCTGCCGTGATATTGCTGAAATATTGCTAAAAGCAGTGTAAAACCCAACCCAACTCACTTAGCAAATAATAGTTAAACAAGTCTTACTTGCATGCACGTTTGGCCTCTGCCCAACTTGTATGAACAATTTCTAACCTGTCTGAAAAAATTACCAGTTATGTAAAGTGCTACAATGATGCCCTTGCATGATTATTCCACAGACTGAATCTTGGAAATGCTTAGGTTGCATCAGATTTAAGATGTCACAGTCTACTTTGGTTAGTCATGTTTTACCATCGGCGTAATGGATTTCTCCTGAATTAGAATTATTTTCCAATATCGCAACAAACTTGAAAAGACAAGTTTTGTAAACTTCAGGAAAATTCCACATGGTTGGAAGAAAATAATTTGAGATAATTTTAAGTTACTTGCATCTTTTGGAAAATGACAGTAATGTTAATGTGTGTTTTCATTGTATATTTTGTGCAACGTCTCAGGGATAATAACGTATAGATTATTGAGTAGGAGACCGTGATGGACACTTTGGAAAGTCTCCAAGTTCTGAATATCTACTTTCCGTAATGGGGAATAGTTAAGCTCCACACAATGACATGTTCCGGCTACAGACGCTACATGATTTCACGCAAATATTCATTCACAATCTGTTCTTGTGTGCGCCACTTGATGATAAAGGAGTATATTTTCTGTACGGCATTTGGAAATCTTTCCTTTTTCCCAAAGCAAAATCCAATAATAACCTTTTCAGAAATTCATCTTGTCCGACTTATTGTTTAAATTTGAATAAGCAGTCAATATAAATTCATGTGATGAGGTTGCTATGCATTTCTGCCGTGACCTTCGAAGATGTGGCTGTGCGGAGGTGCCACAGCGACCTTCACTTGAATGTTTGTTGTGACTGGACGTGGCATCCTGGGATTGATTTCCCAGAAGGTTGAAGTGCCAGTACTATTGATGGCATGGGTCGCAGTGCCTACCGATTCCGTGCCAGGATTCTAGATTGGTATTCTGGACTGGCTGGGGTTTTATTGGGAGAAATTATCCCCCAATTTGACATTGTCTTGATGAGGCTTGTACAAGAATGAAACTGACGAGGCATACTCTGTGACGGTTTAATGGCAGATTGACGTTCCTAAACGCCTGCCCTTAGACGGATATTGGATGAAAGTTGTTACAGTACGAGAGGTGACGGTGATGCTGATGACATCCATTGGTATCCGTGATTGTCACAACCAACACATATACTACTATGTTTAGAGGAGATCATTATGGCGGAAGGCTTAACTAGTCATTAACTAGTCAATGGCTTCACTAGGCTAATAAACTTTCATCTTTGATGCCTTCATGATGGATTGGTCAGACATACTTTTCGGGACGACATTCCTGATTAAGGTCTGACCTTAAATCGATTATATCTCCTTGGTTTACTCCGACATTAAGAAACGAGTCGAAGTGCGCACTACCCCAGACTGGTAGAGAAATCTTATACTGTGTTGGATCCCTGAAGTATTTCAGACTTTTCACTGCATATGAATATCTTTCGTGCAACTATCTTGCTTATTCAAAAAATGTAAGAAATGTGGAGTTTGGGTTTAAGGTGATATCATTTAAATTTGATAATGTTGGGTCTGTATCTGTCATGCCAGGACAGGATTTCATCTTTTGTAAAATGTTGTCATCAAATGTGTGTATGATGTCGCTACATTCCAGTGTGATGTCATGACTGTCTCACAGCTATTAAAATTCAAGTTAGTTAGTGAGTTGCTTTTAGCAATATTCCAGCAACATCTTGTTTGAAGACACCAGAAATGGGCTTCAAACATTGTACCCATGTCGAGAATCAAACCCGGGTCTTTGGTGTGATGAGCAAACACTTTAACCTCTTGCCTACCCCACTGCCCCCAAGAATTCTAGTACAGTGAGAAGGCTACTGAAAAAATTGCAAATATTGGGTGTGAGATACTAAATGATAATTTTGAAGCAGATAGTTCAAGAAATAATATTAATTTAAAGGCAAGAGTGAAATAAACCATTATCCCATGCGTCATTTCTTCAAAAGTTCTATCTCATCTTTATTCACTTCAGTAGTCTTGCAAATAAACTCATGCCACAATCCTTCCTGTTTTTATTTGAAAATAAATTACATACTACGAACGGAAATAAGTATGGCGACTGTTGACGTCATCCCAAGGTTTGTTTCTACAGTTACATGAATAAGTTGTGTCCCATATAGCATCCAGGCTGTCCCTAGCCAGACAGAGGACATACGGCAGACTGTTTGATGTGTGTTTGATCATGTGATGTCCCCTTGGGCAGGAGCTTGCATGCTGCCTCAGAGAATAAGTGACAAAGTCACAAGTGTAGGTGGCGCTAGTGAAATGTCCTTATTGGCCACCATCTTGTCAAGATGATGGATGTATGCCTTTGCAGACAGGAACAGGATTTACTGGTTGTCAATTCGAGCACTCTGTCATTTTCAGTCTCGTTATTTGAGGAATGGTTCAGAAGCTTAGGGTAATCAATTTATATGTGTGGGCTGATTTGTCTCAAATTTGGTCCAAGTCTTCAAAATGTCAATAATCAAATCCAGACCAGGTTCAAAATCAAATGATACTATTTTCCTGGCAATGTATCAATAAACATTATCAATTTGGAAAACAGCAATTTTGTGTGAAATGAAATGTTTTCCAATTTGCAAAACTACCGCCATGGTGAACAGGTGTACCGATGATCTATTAATGTATTGATGTGGGGAATGCAGTATGAACACCTTAATATGTTTCCACATAAAAATGGTTATTTTGTTCAGACTATTAATGGGGAATGCAGTATGAACACCTTAATATGTTTCCACATAAAAATGGTTATTTTGTTCAGACTATTAAACACAGATTACAATTTCTTTGTGTTGGTTTGTAATAAATTTCAGAATTCATAGTTTCAGTTTCAGTAGATCTAGGTTAATTGTGGCTTATTTGACAAAATATAAAGTGTTAAATGCTTATACTGGTTGGTTTTATCAGTGTATGGGTTCCATTTTTCAAAGCACATGCCCCCTCATGCAACCCTTACATGTATTAAAAATACTGTATCTCATTGGTCAAATATGGCCAAAGGTTTGCTCCGTTAAATGGCACCCAGTAAATGCTTTTTATTTATAAACAACCTGTTTCACATTAATGAACAATTCGCTCTCTGTATGTCATTGGTCAAATATGGCCAAAGGTTGCTCCGTTAAATGGCGCCCTGTAACTGCTTTTTTATGTGTATGTGCAACCTGTGACACATTTATAGATAACTCTCTCTCTCTCTTTGTGTCAGTGCATGCAATAGTTGCCTGTATCATTGCAGACCCATGAAGATCTGGGGTAGAATAGGTCTTCAGCAACCCATGCTTCCCACAAAAGGCGACTATGCTTTGCTTGTCATAAGAGGCGACTAACGGGATCGGGTGGTTAGGCTCGCTGACTTGGTTGATACATGACATCAGTTCCCAATTGCGCAGATCGATGCTCATGCTATTGATCACTGGATTGTCTGGTCCAGACTCGATTATTTACAGACCGCCGTCATATAGCTGGAATATTGCTGAGTGCTGCGTAAAACAAAACTCACTCACTCACTGACTGACTGACTGAGTTTAGTTTTATGCCGCTTTTAGCAATATTCCAGCAATATCACGGCGGGGGACACCAGAAATGGGCTTAACACATTTTACCCATGTGGGGAATCGAACCCGGGTCTTCGTGGCGGACGAGCCAATGCTTTAACCACTAGGCTACCCCACCGCCCCACACTCACTCACTGTATCATCGCGGACAGACATGGACATGGCAACATGACTATTGGGTGTATGTGTGTGCTTGTTCACTGTATCACTCTACTACCCGTGAAGTTCCAGGTTAGAATTGATCTTCAGCAACCCATGCTAGTCGTAAGAGGCTATTAACTGGATCGGGTGGTCAGGCTAGCTGACTTGGTTGACACATGTCATCGTATCCAAATAGCATAGATCAATGCTCATGCTGTTGATCACTGGATTGTCTGGTTCAGACTCGATTATTTACAGACTGCTGGAATATTCCTGAGTGCAGCATAAACAACTAACCTGTATCACTGTAGTTCTCTGTTTAAACACACATGCAACATCAAATATTCAAGCTTGTGTGCTTGTTGCCTGCATCTATACACTCACTAGTTGTACGAAGTAGAATCTTTTCTTAACTGTGGGTTGGTGTTTTGGTGTAACTGTGTTGGAGATTGCTCAAACTGATTATTTTCTTCTTCAGGAGACTGAGATACTGAACACAGCCATCTTGACGGGAGAGAGACTTTCGTTCCCCCTGAAAGTCTACGCCGTGTCTGATGTCGGGATTTTCCGTGATGTTTCAGTCCTCACCGCCTGCCACTCAACAGACCGCGATGTCCTCAAGGTAACTATTAACGGGTTAACGTATCGTGTGGTCAGACGCGCTGACATGGTTGACACATGTCATTGTATCCCAAATACATAGATTGATGCTCATGCTGTAGATCACTGGTTTGTCTGGTCCGGACTCGATTATATACAGAGCGCCGCCATATAGCTGGAATATTGCTGAGTGATGCGTTAACCAGCAATCAAACCAAACCAAACCTCAAGGTAACTATTGTATTGAACATTTCATCCGTTTGGCCAAGTAAGGATTCCTGGTTAGGGATGCTTCTAAGGATCCGTGGATGGTCATAAGAATAAATATGGAGCAGGTAGTCAGGCTTATTTGCTTTTCCTCATGCCCAATGATTTGGAGTGTTGGTCACAGTGTCATCACTGGATGGTTTGGCCCAAACGTTTAGGGGATGGTGCCATTAGCTGGATTGTTGGTCACAGTGTCATCACTGGATGGTCTGGCCCATAGGATGGTCACAGTGTCATCACTGGATGGTCTGGCCAAACGTTTAGGGGATGGTGCCATTAGCTGGATTGTTGGTCACAGTGTCATCACTGGATGGTCTGGCTCAAACGTTTAGGGGATGGTGCCATTAGCTGGATTGTTGGTCACAGTGTCATCACTGGATGGTCTGGCCCAAACGTTTAGGGGATGGTGCCATTAGCTGGATTGTTGGTCACAGTGTCATCACTGGATGGTCTGGCTGAAACGTTTAGGGGATGGTGCCATTAGCTGGATTGTTGGTCACAGTGTCATCACTGGATGGTCTGGTGGTCATTAGCTGGATCACATCATGGATGGTCTGGCCCAAACGTTTAGGGGATGGTGCCATTAGCTGGATTGTTGGTCACAGTGTCATCACTGGATGGTCTGGCCCAAACGTTTAGGGGATGGTGCCATTAGCTGGATTGTTGGTCGACAGTGTCATCACTGGATGGTCTCGCCTAAACGTTTAGGGGATGGTGCCATTAGCTGGATTGTTGCTGATTGTGGTGTTTAACAACAAACAAATCATCCATGGGAATTTTGTGCCAGTGTTCACTTGTCAGAGGGGTACACGAAGTACTTGGTCTAGACTACCAGTTGTCCGACTACCATTTTTGTGAGTGGGTTAGATCGCTGATTTTGTGTTCTGCCAATTAGGTGCCTTGCTGTGAGAGAGTGGGTTCGAATCCTGGATGGGACTGAACCAAAGATACACCAGAATCTGTACTTTACTAAAAAAGTGTAATCCCAAATATGACATGTGTTCTTTTTGACCACATTCTGAAAGGCATTGTGTATTCTTAAGAATCATTCATTTTATTTTACTGATGTAGTAGAATGAATACCTGGGTCATGTAGGAATATATTTCCGTGTGACCTTCAAATGTTTTGATGACTCCAGCGATTCAAGTTTCAATATCATTGTTTTGATGATACTTTCATTACAAGCTTATAGTGTTATTTGTATTTTATAGTTCATTGTTTAATTTACTTGTAGGTTGCACCAGATTGCTCAGAAATCTACTTTGAAGGCAATGAAACACGTGGCTCACACAATGTCACTATCATTGCCAAGACTGGCCTCTACACAGACAACATGTACATCCGTGTGTGGGTACCTGAGAGTAGGCTGGACATACAGCTGTCAGACAACAAGCTCGGACAGATTCGGGGCTGGAAGGTGCAGACTAAGTCCCCACGAAGGTGAGCAGAAGTCACGCCATTTCTTCTTGAAAAGAGGGGCGATGGGGTATCCTCTCAGTTGAGGCATTTGCTCATCATGCCAAAGATACAGGTTTGATTCCCCACATGGGAACAATGTAAAAAGCCCATTTCTGGTTTGCCCCGCCATGATATTGCTGGAATATTGCTTAAAGCGGCGTAAAAATAAACTCGCTCACTCTAGAAAAGAGGGTGGTGGGGTAGCCTTGTAGTTCAAGCATTTGCTCTTCACACCAAAGACTGGGGTTCGATTCCCCACATGGGTACTATTGTGTGAAGTCCATTTCTGGTGTCCCCCTCCGTGATGCTGGTGGAATATTGCTAAAAGTCACCTAAAACCATACTTGCTTACTCTGCTTGGAAAGATTCTAGTTCTCTGAAACCACCTGTGTACATGATCCCAGCAAAGGTGCCATCAGAATGTGTTCCAGGAGTAAAAAATCTGGCCATTATTGATTTAATTTCTTGCCAACTGTGCTGCAGTTATTTGTAGAAATAATGAAAAACCTTTATTAGGTTTACCTGATTTTTCTTCAGGACAAAACCACATGTGCACCTCATCTCAGCAAAAGTGTCAGCAAAATGTGTCCTTGGAATAAATAAATGTGTCCATAATTGCTTTATTTTCTTGTCAACTGTGCTGCATTTATTTATAGAAATAATGAAAAACCCTTATTAGGTTTACCTGATTTTTCTTCAGGACAAAACCACATGTGCACCTCATCGCAGCAAAAGTGTCAGCAAAATGTGTCCTTGGAATAAATAAATGTGTCCATAATTGCTTTATTTTCTTGTCAACTGTGCTGCATTTATTTATAGAAATAATGAAAAACCCTTACAACTTTTCTTCTGGATGAAGTTGTAGTTCTCAGAAACCACCTGTGCACATTAGCCCAGTGTCATCAGAATTTGTTCCCAGAGCTAAAACATGGTCCTTGTTACCTCAGTTTCAAGATTTAGCTCATTAGTATAATCTAATATTTAAGAAATAAAAAAACCCTAACCTTTTTATGACCATTTGTAGATGTTTGAGGTTCAAGTAAATTACTTCTTTAATTGGCATTTTAGAAGTTGGGAAATATTCAATATTGACAAACTTTATGGAAGGAAGAAGTGGTTATCCATAAAGTCAATATACATGTAAATCCTTTCTGCGTCTACCTGGAAACTAGTATTATTGAGCTGAATTTTGCAGCATTTTTCCAAGGATATTTTTTTAATGAAAGTTCACGCCCTTATGAACAATTGACTCGATTTCTGAGGCATCATATCTTTGAGCATGAGATGTATTTAAACAAAGTTGTGAAATAATCCGATTTTGTCCCAAACTTTGTCTGTCTGTCTCCCAGACTGTAGAGAATGAATTTAAAAAAAGAATCTGATATGTGATCTCGAAAGATGAGATTTCTTTCCATCAAGGGACTATGCTTCACATGGTGGATGGCTTTCAGCTGTTTACCATCGTGTTGGATTGTATCCTTCAAATTAGCTGTTACTTTGAATTCTTTCATAGCAGCTATACCTACCATTACCCTTAACCCATAAATCACAAGGTAATTTGTTAACCAGTGGTAGCTTCCAGTTAACATCCTTTGATTACCTGAACAGGAAAATAAGAGCTTTCTGCCATCAGTACTGCATTAGCCTCGCATTAGCCTCCCTCGTTACTGAACTGTTGAGGTAGCTCCAGAGTCAGGCTCGCTAATTATAGAGCATCCATAAACATGATGCTTCCACATTGAAGGACCTGGAACCAGTGCTTAGGAAAATACTTTTAGGTAATCAAGCTTGATTATGGTCAGATTAATGGCATTGCCACTCATCTCTGTTTGTGCCTGGTCTGTTGGTACTACTTGGTAAACAACTAGTTCTCATGATATGTTTGGTCATGAAAATGTGGGTTAGGGAGAAGGTATCATTCATCATGGTTCTTTGAAAAGGAATAGAAGGTCTTTTGGTTTTTGGCCTTTGTGGAATTGTTAGAACATTGATGTTCTTTCATGGCAGGATAGATGAAAGACTGCTGTTAGGCTGAAAACTTTTGAAATATTTATGGCTTTAAGGAAGTGTGCGACGTCACTGTTGAATGTTCAATTGAAATACAGCACAACTTGACAACATCAGATTGTCCTTGGCTGACATTTACAAAATTTGTCTTCATAAATATTAACTACTCAAAGGAGACAAAAGAACAACCATTGTTTTCACATAACATAGTCTATCGTGGTAGGTATTGAAAACACTCAGTCTTCCAGTTGTGGGCGTTCTTTGTGTTGAGTTGACTACTGTGTATTAATGTTACATGTTTTGTACGAACTGGGGTAGAAAAGTGCAGGTGTAGGTTTTTTCATCCAAAGAGTCAAATAATCATCTAGCATGACCACAACCTTGCACCAAAGTAAATTGTATCAGTCATATTCTTTATTTGGGGTGGTGGGGTAGCCTAGTGGTTAAAGCGTCCTCTCGGCATGCCGAAGACACGAGTTCAATTTTCCCACATGGGTACAATGTGTGAAGCCCTTTTCTTGGAATATTGCTAAAAGCAGTGTAAAACCATACTGACTCACTCACTCACTCACTCAGTACACACACTGATGATAGACCTCCGGTTGTACTTAAGTTCATGCATCTGGTATGTTAACATGACAGGTTGTTGAAGAGCAAGGTCACGGCTTATGAAATAAGCGTTTGAAAGGCTTGTGACCACAAAGATTAGACTTTTTGATCCAGGATAACAAATCCTTTTGATTGAATTTTGGCCGAATTCCATGTGTGGTCCAGGTGCAATTAATATGATTAACTCGTACCATCACCCCATGATGAGAACCAAGGAGCATGTGCATTAGTTCACAGCAGTGATAAATGATGCATACAGTACATGTATCACCATCTTGACATGATTATTGATCGTCCTTCCTGCCCAACAGCCAAGGTCATTGCCAGACTCCATTTATTAAAAAATCAGTGTAATTATATAACTAAAAAATAAACTATTTCAGATCAGAAAATTGTAGCCTTAAAGCCAAAAGGAAATAGGATACAGAGACTGTGAAAAACAAGCAAATACATAATTTGTTGTTGCCAAATTGTTACAATATGCTGAACATAGACATGGTGGACCATTTCATGCTGTTTACCACAATCATGAATTTATAACGAGACAGCAATTGGACTGTACTGAAAAACATCCATTTCCGTGCGCTGCTGTTACATTTTGAGGTCATAGGAGGTTAGTTGTCAGGCAAGCAGGATATCCATGGAAGTTTGTTCAGGCAGATAAAAACAACACTTGCACTTCACTCCAATATGTTGCAAGAAGATAAGAGAGTTATAAAGGATGTTTTTGTTTTGGGGTCACTCGCACATGTATTTGACAAAATCTTTCGGGGTACAAGTTCAGTGCATATGTTTATGATTCCATGTTCCGATGATGTCTGTAGACTGCTGTATCTCAAGAAACCAGCCAGTTATTAGAAGTTTGGTCAGACATTTTTGTTGAACCGATGTACTGAAAATAACATTCTCCTCCTACTGGTTGTTATATTGAACCTAGTGGTTAAAGGCATTCGACAAAACGAAAGACCGGGTTCGATAACATGGGTCTCCCATTTCTGGTATCCCCCCGCATATATTACTGGAATATTGCTGGTTCACTTCACTCACTTGTTATATTGTGGGTTGACCTTCCCGTTGACCTGTACCTTTCTCATTGTACCCCCTGTAAAGACAAAATGCAAAAGCATCTTTAGATTTTATTATAGTAAGTCCACTTTTCCATGTTTCCTATTCTATCCTCCCCAACCACTATTATAAAAAATGACCTGTCTGTACTGCTGCGTGAATTTAAACATGTTTAAATTGGACATGCAGACCAAGAAAATTTGAGTTATGAGTAATTTTAAAGCTATCATCATAATTGCAGCGTTCTTTCATTCACAAGTTTATGATTCTGCACATTTTTTCATAATGTTCTCCAATTTGGTGGAATACTGTTATTGACCCTCTCAGCATATTTTGGGGGATTCCCTTACTCTCTCTGACCGATCCCCAATACAGAGCACCTTAAGAATTCCAGGTTGTGCATTTTTATTGTTGAGGCCCTAACTGGTTTCCTTGGCAAGAAGCAGAATTAGATTACTACCACTGTAAGATTGGTCTCGAGGACTAGTGTAATCCAATTTCACTAGTTCTCAAAGTCTGATTGAAGAAGATACAAAAAAATTGCAATGTTTAAATTTTCTGTCAGTTTTATTTAGTTCCAGTTTGTTGCAAAAATTGTATTGAAGTAGTTATGGATTTAACCCTAAACAGTTAGTAGTCATTGAGAAATACCAAGACTGGATTCTTAGTATTTCTCAGCAGGGTTTAGTTGTTTCAGTCTAGCAGACTGTTTCAAAAGTCTTTACATATCAAGTTGACTTTCATATAAAGGGAATACTCAATTCAAGGAATGAGAGTTCTGTAATGAATGTGCTCATTTTTCTTTTCTAGCAAGCGGAGTGTTGATTTTGGACTGCTGACCCACTCAGGGTTCTATGTTGGCGATCGCAACCAGAAACTGGACCGACATGGCTGCCAGTTGCGTCTTCAACAAGCTGAGGTGGAGGTCTTCACTCGCTTCCACATTGAATCTCGGTCTCGCATTGACTACTACCACAACCGAAAGGCCTATCTCAAGGTCACTGACCTTGTCCTGAAGAGAATGCGGATGTCTGATCCTAGGATTGCTTCTCTGGAAGGAAACATCATCCAAGGTCAAGGCCAGGGACGGACTGAAGTTCAGGTACGCTTTTAGAAATTCTGACAGAAAACACAATTCTACTTTACACATTAATATTATATTCTTCTGAAGATATGTGGTTATAAATGTGTCATAATGTTCATAAATGCCCAGCACTATTAAGAACAAGATGTCGCTTTCAGAGCTCATATTTCTTTATGTTTAATCCCTGATTGGTTGTCCTCCTGAAACCAACATGAAAGATATGGTGTTTCAATATAGTAGACAGGTAGTGATGCATAAGTATTGTTAGTGACATTGCAGTGATGTAGAATTCTGTTTGATTTTACATTTCATTGTGATAGAAATATCAGGTTGAATCTGATGCAGTAACACATGCCTGTTTGATGTAGGTCCTGTCACCAACCGGGCGTGTCATGGCTGCCAGGGAGGTGCGTGTTGGCAAGGAGAAGGTCGTCATAGAGCGCCTGCTTATCAGGGTCATCAGTGGCGTCCGACTTGATATTGTCAAGGGGTCACTTCCTGGAACCCTCACTGCCGTCGCTCATCTTGAGCATAAGCTGATGTCCAAACACAAGGTATGCTACAATAACAGTTACTAGTAAAATGTTCAGATTTGTGGGTGTTATAGTGTATGCTGCCTGCAATTCCTAGAACCTTAATATACAAGCTAGAGCGACTTTCCCATGGAGATTCTGGGTCAGAGAGGTCAACCTGTGCTTGTCTTGTGGCTCAGTGGTGAGGTTGAGTGCGTGTCATTGTATTGTCTAGCTGCAGACCCTTAATCAACTGGTTAGTGCCCATCCTGATAGTGAGAGCGACTTCCCTGTGGGAATTCTGGTTCAGATAGAACCGCCTCCATGGTGTAGTGGTTAGAGCCTACGCCCGAGAGCGGAAGGTCGCGGTTTCGATTCCCGACCGCGTCATACCAAAAGACGTTAAAATATGGTACTTTTTGGTCCCTGCCTGGCTCTCGGCATTAATGGGTACAACAAGGACTGGTCGGCTCGGAGTCAGTATTCTGTGTCTGAGTGGGGTATTCATGCTTCACTGCGGCATGGTATCTCAGTGGGCTAGCACTATAAAACCAGCTTCGGTCTGGGCTAGTACAAGCAGCCGCACATACACATGCACACGCATGCACGTCGTCATATGAGCGAAATATTCTCAACCACGACGATAAACCCAATTTCACCTCACCTCACCTGGGTGAGATAGGTCCACCTGTGCTTGTCATGGGTTGTCCAGATGGTCAGACTCAGTGACTAGGTTGATTGCATGTCATTGAACCCTGATGGCAGATATTGTTGTTCGCACTATCCCTTGGGAATTCTGGGTCTGAGAGGTGTGAGTGAGTTGCGTTTTCACGGGTCGGGGTCTGAGAGGCCCACCTATGCTTGTCATGTGGTGACCAAAAGGATTGGGTGGTGAGGTCCAGGGGTTAGGTTGATTGAATGTCATCGTACCCTAATGGTATCAACTGTTGTTCACACTGTCAATCACAGGATTGTTTGATCCTGACTCGCATTTACAGGCTACTGTGTCATAGATGAAGTATTTCTAAACAACCAGGGGGCGGTGGGGTAGCCAAGTTGTTAAAGCGTTGGCTCGTCACGCCGAAGACCCGGGTTCGAATCCCAACATGGGTACAATGTGTGAATCCCATTTCTGGTTTTCCCCGTCGTGATGTTGCTGGAATATTGCTAAAAGCGGCGTAAAACCAAACTCAGTCAGTCAGTCAGTCTTAACAACCAACAAATGGAGGAGCAGTTCAAGAGCCAGGGCCTAGATTTCCGAACTCTTTTAGTGCTAAGATAGTCATGAGTTAATGTTAATGTATGGCACTTACGACTTTATTAACGCTAAGAGATCTTCGAAAATCTAGGCCCTGGTTTGGTAGCTGCAGGCCTGTCTCAAGTTAGAGGCCCAGTTAATTATTGGATTTTTATTCCCACCTCCCTCTCAGCCACGCGCCTAGCTTCACATTACTTAAAGAAGCCACAGGCACTCATTCTCTTGATTTGATTACATACTGTAGCATACAAAACTTTCATGCTTCATGTGAATATCATTTGACGCACACCCACTCCTTGTAACTTTGTGTACAGTGAGTGAGTTGAGTTTTACGCCGCACTCAGCAATATTCCAGCTATATGGCGGCGGTCTGTAAATAATCGAGTCTGGACCAGACAATCCAGTGATCAACAGCATGAGCATCGATCTGCGCAATGGGGAACCGATGACATGTGTCAACCAAGTCAGCGAGCCTGACCACCCGATCCCGTTAGTCGCCTTTTACGACAAGCATAGTCGCCTTTTATAGCAAGCATGGGTTGCTGAAGGGCTATTCTAATAGACCCGGACCTTCACGGGTCAACTTTGTGTACAAAGAAGAGAAGATATTAAATACCGGTATGTCTCTCAGCCTCACACTTGTGACCAATGACAAGGTAGGATAAAGGCGATTTGGCCAATATGATCTGCATAATTTTCATATTGAACAAAACTTTCAGAAATTGAACCTTAGCTTGCTCCATCTGTTCAGAGTTTAAGATCCTGACATGCTCCGTCTGGTTCAACCTGTGTAAATCATAAGGACTCTTACCTGTTTTCATGGCAACAAATGACTTCATGTCTCGCAGTGACTTGATTCACTTTGCCGCAAGACAGGATGACTTCATAGACCTAATAACGTTCATTAGGAGACTTAGCCTTCAGCATCTGACATTTAAGTAAAAGAATTTGTTTGAACATTTCGTCCAAACGTTACATGTTAGCTTCATCAAACTTGGTACATATATTAAGAATGATCCATAGATGTGCCTTTTGGGGCTTAGACCCAGATATGAATTTTATTTTTTGTGGTTTCCATGGAAACGTGACTTAGGCTGTGGCTCTGAGGATGTCATCTTGTCCGGAGCAGGTCTCCTACACTATACGCGCTAGCTTCATCAGACCTGGTACACATATAAAGCATGATCCCTAGAAGTGCCTTTTGGAGCTTAGACCCAGATGTGAATTTTATTTTTTGCTGTTTCCATGGAAACATGACTTAGGCTGTGGCTATGGGAATGTCATCTTGTCCGGAGCAGATCTCTCAAACTATACATGCTAGCTTCATCAAACTTGATACACATATCAAGCATGATCCCTAGATTAGCCTTTTGGGGGTCAGACCCCGATGTGAATTTTATTTTTTGCTATTTCCATGGAAACATGACAGGTTGTGTCTATGAGGATTTCATCTTGTCCGGAGCAGATCTTCCAAACTATAAATGCTAGCTCCATCACACTTGGTACACATATCAAGCATGATCCCTAGATATGCCTTTTCGGGGTTAGACCCAGATATGAATTTATTTTTTGCGGTTTCCATGGAAACATGACTTATGCTGTGGCTATGAGGATGTCATCTTGTCCGGAGCAGATCTCCTAAACTATACATGCTAGCTTCATCAAACTTGGTACAAATGTTAAGCATGATCCTTAGATGTGCCTTTTGCGGGTTAGACGCAGATATGAATTTTTTTTTGGTTTTCCATGGAAACGTGATTTGGCTGTGGCTATGAGGATGTCATCTTGTCCGGAGCAGATCTCCTAAATTATACATGCTAGCTTCATCAAACTTGGTACATATGTTAAGCATGATCCCTATATGTGCCTTTTGCGGGTTAGACGCAGATATGAATTTTATTTTTTGTGGTTTCCATGGAAACATGACTTAGGCTGTGACTATGAGGATGTCATCTTGTTGCATTTCCATTGCAACAAGTTAGGCTTCAACTGAATTTGGTGGTAGTGCTCCTTTCTGGAGCAGATCTTAAAACCTTTCAATACTCTCCTTCCACTTTGCTGTATACACTCCAAAACATTTGACATAATCATAACTAGTAGACATATTCATAAAGAGTATTTTGCCGTTGCGGGGGATATTGATGACTTTGTCTTCTTGTTGTACAAGGCAACCACAGAGTTGGAGGTATACTGATCATAGTGTTGACCACATTGGTACAATGTGTGAAGCTAATTTTTGGTGCCACCTGCTGTGGTATGGCTATAATATGGCTACAATGTCGCTAGGATACTGCTACAATGTCGCTAGGATACTGCTAAAATATCGCTAGGATACTGCTACAATATCGCTAGGATACTGCTACAATGTCGCTAGCTGCTACAATGTCGCTAGGATACTGCTACAATGTCGCTAGGATACTGCTACAATATCGCTCTGCCAATATAAACTCCCTAAAGAGGCACAAGACCCCACACACTCGCACTACACTCACACACTCCTACTAGCCTCCCAAATTACCCCTTGAAGTAGTAATGAATTCACCTATTCAGATTCAAATGTCTAATTTATTGAAAGAACCCTCTCACTACTTGGCTACCATAGGGTAGGTGAAGTACTGATGTGTTGAGCACATGGGTACAGTATAGGAAGCTTAGTTTTGTTGCCCCATGCTGTGGTAGGTACTAGAATATGGTTGAGGTGCATGACCCTACATCCCCACATCAGGCTCTGAAACATCTCCTTGAAGTATACACAAAGAACCCCCTGTATTTTTTGCAATAATAGGTACATGAAACTAACGTGAACACTCAAAATGTCATTTGCGTGTCTTACTTGATTCAAGGTCAAGGCTGAGTGTAACCTCCATGTGACTGCATGACAGCCAGCACTCTCCTTCTCATACCCCCTGTCAGCCTCCTGATCCTCTGAAGGGGCAGACTACGCCATTCCTCGTGTAATGCAGCTTCCAACTGGGCCAGGTTCTGTACAGGAGGATCCCTTTGTTGCACACGATGACCAATTGTGTCCCAGATATGCTCCAAAGGGTTAAGATCCAGGCTCATTGAATCGTGAATTTGTCAGGGGGGGCTTAACCAAGTTCTTTGTGTATAGAAGTGATTTAGCCTCCTTGTAAGTGTTACAATCTGTCTTTAAAACTAATTCTGATTTGTTTTGATTTCAGGAGGCAAGTCTGGATGTGTCTGTGCAGTATTCTGATGGCACAAGCTTCCCTCTGAAGTACATCAATTCCAAGGACTATGACATAAAGATTTCCTCCCTCAACCACCATGTCATCGACATTCTTGACACGGACAATTACGAGATCCGTGCAGTCGGCGAGGGAAGCGATGAATTTGTCAAAGTTGTTTTCAGACATGGAGACCAATGCCCACGTAACGTTCCCGCCCGCTCTCTACAACCTATGTATATGTGACTGCTGACTTCTCTAAGGAGGGCAGCTACCATGACAGCCTTCAGAGTGATGGCAACTACAACAACCGCGCCAGCGGACGATGGGAGGATGATCAGGATGATCACAGCCAGAACATTCAGAAGATACACATTGACAATAAAGACAAATACTTTCAACACCAGCCCAAGTCCAAGTTTGATAAGATTTTGAAGAAGGACAAGTCAGATCCTCAAGTGATTCCTGTCGATTTGGCCTTTGATAATCTCCCCATGTCCAAACCCAAATCGGAGGCTCACCAGCAGCCAATCCGAGAAAACAACCATCTGTCGCCATTGGAGATTGGCATGTATGTCCTGCTGGCTGTATTCTGCGTGGCAATTTTGGTCTTCACTGTCAACTGTGTCGTATTCATGCTCAGATATCGCAGAAAACGTATTCCCAAAGGTCCCAAGGATACTGTATCTCAGGCACATGATTGGGTTTGGATAGGACGCTCAACGCTCGAACGTAATGGTGCTCATCACACACGCTGCTCACAGACACTCATGCCGGAGGAGGATTTCAATGGGAATCAGATGATTGTTCGTCCCCAGAGCAGCAGTCATAGCTCTAACAGTTCACAAAACGGCGGGAGCAACCGCAACAGCACAGTGTCGACATACAAAGGCTCGGAATGCAGTATTCGGATCACTGCCAACCCACTTCTGGATGGGGCAGACGTCCCCAACCCAGAGGATGCCGAATGGGATTATGAAGCAATGGGGATGACATACGATCAACTAATGGAATACTTTGATAATTTGAAAGAGTCAACTGCATAACGCCTTAAGTTTTAATCTTCCTCTGAACTATTTTCAATTTTCTGCTGTATACGAGAGAGCATGAACACTGTGAGAAACGTGGCACTTTGCTTGCATTTTCGTCCTGTTTCATTTCTAGTGTTGAGGGAACAGTTGGATGCAGTGCGTCTTGCCTTTCGACAGAATGAACAGGAAAACACAAGTGGAAATCTCTCCCTTACGAAATGGTTGTGCAGAAAACTGGAGTAGGGCACGGGTGTGGTTCCGAGCTGTGGACGTGAGTGTTGTTCAGGTATTTAATGGGCCAGGTCCTCGCTGTGATGTGAACCAAGTATTTCTTGAGGACCCACACGCATCTAGCAGTACTAGAGACTTGTACCAACATACTGGCACCCTTGTATTGTCTATACTACATGTGTAGGATATATGTGATCATATGCCACACAGATAGTTTGTGATCCTATATTGGAAGTATTCACTGTAAATAATTGTGCTGCCTGAAGGTTCCACTGAGATGTTCCGTGGCAGGAAGATGGCAGGTGACCTGTATTGCATAATGACTAAATTTGAGAAAATGGCGGCCTCTTAGCACGTGCCTGAGCAGTGCGATGGCATCATAGTGCTGGTGTATATAATACTCATATTGTCTTATATATTTGCATGTGACAGGCAAAGGAGACAATCATGGCATATGAGAACTGGTTCTGAGTCAGTGGAGTTGGTAAAGGGAAGTAACTCTAACAAGGGAGAGAACTGGTGATGATAGAACCATGCACATGAATGAACAGGGAAGCACTGTGTGGTGGTCGTGTAGAACAACAACAACTTTTTCTACAGACAGGGCAGATTATGTTGAGTCCTTTCCTGGGTAATGACAACAGTAACCAATTTTCCATGGAGAAAATGTGTTGGTCGGATGAATTTGAAACATTTTAGCTTGATCTTGGACACTTTTTGGCTGACATGAAATTGTGAGATGACATAAGTTGCTTTTAAAAATGCACTGTAAACCTGAGTGTATTTTTGTGTGAAAAAAATTATTTTAAAAATAATGGTTTATCAGAAAGGGATCTGTATTGCTCATGACTGTTCTCTTTGTCGAGAACTGTTTTTGGTTTTTGACGGTAAACAAAAATTAGTTAATTAATCAAATATCCTGGTCAGTGTAATTGTTGTGAAGTTACTGCAGGCCACCCCTATATGTGCATTAATAAACCAACCCTCCGCTGTACACCCAGCAAAGGTTGCCATTCTGGGAGAGCCCAGTTAACAACAGGGATTGTACGATCTCTCTCAACGTACCCATTGAACAATTATAATATATTTCCTTAGATTATTTTCCATTCTGTTTGTGTGTATTCTCCCTGCTTTGTTCACTGGAACTCCCTGGGTCTGTAATGCCCATCAACAGAATGGAAGAGCTCTGTCTTTAGTCAGGGTGCCAGCCCTGTCTGTTTTTTAACTGAGGTGTTTCCTCGGTCCTGTGTTATAGTGTTGTTTATTATGCATATGCGAAATGCAATATATTGAATATATGCTGGGACCCTCTCACAGTGTTTTGCTTGGGGAAATTACTTTGATCTGCAAACAGTAATGGAAAATTTTGAAAAGCATCAAATCCTTTAGGAAAATAGATTTGGTCTGAGATGCAGCATTTTGCTGAAGTAAAAGGTCATGGACCTGTATCATTTTTGTGTTTTCTCCAATTTCAAGCTATGTAATAAATGAACATTTGAAAAAGCAGCATTTAATTCAACTTGCTCACTCTCAAGCATGTTTTCAGTTTGGTAATTTTCTCCTGAACAAAATCGTGGTCTTAACTGCACAGATAGAGGCTAGTCATAAACGTGAGAAGACACGCCCTCAGTTGATGAATCTAATATAACCTGGATCAGTTTTCCTTACAACTGTTCATTATCTGGTACAGACATATAGTAAGCCTTGACCGAGACACTGTTGCCAGGCAACCAGCAGTTATTATGACTATGATGTAACTCTGTGTAGATTGTGTTAGCGTGGACACGTCGCTTCAGTGGTGCTCCAGTGCAAGTCATGTGACTTGTCATTTCACAGCAAATAGATCTGACTTTTCCCCCACTCCTCACGTCTTTTTCATTAGTCATTCAAAGATTGTGATAGTTGCCATGGCAATGTTGTCGAAATACCATGTCAGATGGCAGATCTTGTTTTAATGAAATCTCAATTCAAACTTTTGAAATGTGATTGATTTTGGTCAAGAAAGTTGAAATCAGTTTACTGATTTAAAAGTTACAGATGAATATTTAAATGCAATGGCATTAATGGTTCATGAGACGACTTAGCAAAAATATCAGAATCAAAATGTGTTTACTTCATGGCAAGTATATTTTTTTTGGAATGTCCTCTTGAAGTTAGTAATTAGCTCATTTGTAGTGTACAAGTGAAGTTGTTGTTAGTGACCTAAATATCGCAAACCACATGTAAAATATGACACTTTTACTGAAAGTATTTGTGCGTGTTGATGCTTGTTGCAACCTAATTCTCATTGTCTTTAGGACGCTAGGATAGATATTGAAATGTTATTTTTTTAATACAAAAATAAATTCAGTGTGTAAGGCTATAGTGAATTAATTATGACATTTTCAGACTATGAACAGACAAAATTACCCAAATGGACATATATTACTCAACTTTTGATAAGGATAATCATGTCATTTTATTTAAATAGGCTTGACATTGTTATGTGAATCAGTTTTTTGCAGCATGAAAACGTATAAGTATCCCTATGAAAAGTGGAGTAGTATATATACACAAACTAGTCACTGTTTAAGGTTTGGAATCAGAATAATGAAATATTTTTCAGAACAACCCCTGCTCCAAACTGCCCCTTGAAATGTTTGGTTAAGAAAAGAATCTGTGGAAAATGACAGAAAAATGATTCATTTTGACAGATTTAAATATGTTGTGTTTAAAATAATCAATTCATTATGGTCTTCATTTTTACTAGTGAAAACCCTGTTAAGTTTTGCACATTTCTTGATTGTGGCAACACCTGATGTCAATTAGTTTCCTGTAACCATGGTAACAGAGTGTTCCTGTCATTGTCTTGTTAAAGTTCCCCAGATGCTTGGTTGCCCCCACTGTTGTCTAATCTACGAGCCTTTGTGATACTATCATATGTAGCATTTTCCTCAAGACTTGTACAGAAACTAAGATTCCACTAGTAAATGTCACTTAACTTCTGTATAGCTACTCTACAAACTCTTTTTAGATATATATTTTCTTTTCTATTCTACAACTTTTCATCATTTGCTGTGTTATTAAATATTTAGACTTTTATTTAAATTTTTATATTTTTTTATTTTAATGGTCATTTTACCGATGGAATTTAATGCATCCTGTGTTTTTCTATGATCACTGAATAATGAGATATTTAACTTTTCTTTCATATTAATTCTAGCAGCTGAGAAATTTCTTCAAATACTTAGTAAGTTCTATTTACATTTAGCTCTTTCAAAGTCGTTACTGATTTTGGCGTTTTGGTTTAAAAAACAATAAAACAAAACCATTTAAGGTGGCTAACACGTTTGTTAGAAATTTGAAAAGATATTCTTCTACAGAACAATAATCTCAAAATCACTTTACCCAACTTGAATTCGACAGTTTTAATGGCGTTTTGAAAATAGACAGTTGAGGTTCTGAAATTATTTTCAGAAGTTATTAAATCCTAGGAGTCATAATCAAATGATTTTTTGAAAATTTGGCTTTATGACCCAAAGGTTTTCAAACAGTAATCAAAACACTTTTTCTATATCAAGAAAATAAGAGTTACTGATAATGAAATAAGGCCAGCCAGGTAAGTTTGACAAATGGAGTTATTGTAAAACATCTGGTGCTAACTGAAAAACAGGAAAATTACTACTCAAAGACTTGGAACTGGAAATGTTAAGAATCCTCACCATGTGCCCTGTTCTACAAAGCCTTAGTACTATGATCGTTGTTTACTTGCTTTGTGGAATTGGGTACAGGTTAGGCCAGTTAAATACATATTCTTGTTTCTCATGACCTGTTTGGGATGGTTGGGTAGCCCAGTGGTTAAATTATTCGCTTGTCACACAGAAGCCCTGGGTTCAATTACCCACATCGGTACAATGTGGGAAGCCCATTTTTAATGTCCCCTTGCAATGATATTGCTGGAATATTGCTAAAAATGCGTAAAACTAAACTCACTCACTCATAACTTGTTTCAAAACGGACGAGAATGAGGTTTTGTAAATTATATCTCTTTACTAGGTTACAAACTGATAAAACCCAATGGATTAGAATGTACCACATAAACTGGTTTTAGTCCGTTTGGTTTGAGGTACTAAATGTTGGAATTAAGCGAAAACAAAATTGGAGATGCAAAGTTTTTTTCTTAACAGTATGTAAATATGATAAACTAATTTATGGATTTATAGTGGGTCATGAGGAATGAGGTATATTTTAACAAGCCTTGGGTAGCCATGCATTGTGAAAGACAACGTAAGTGTTCAGCACGTCCGCCTTATCTGCCAATGGTCACAACGCTGCAGCAACACTACAGTTTTCTTTGGTATTTCCTGTTAAGTTAATCCCTCACTGTCTTCAAGTCTGTGTGGATGTGTGTCTGTCTGTTTGTCTGTCCTGTGTTGTCATGTGACCTGTCACATGACATAGCAGAGACAGTGTGTCTGTTGTTTGTGACAGATCCAGTTCTACTGTCAATAAATCATTTCATTATACCACATTGTTTGTTGTGTTTATGCTGTTCATCATGACAGTGGGTCCGGAGTTCAGAAAGAAACAGATCATCATCAGATGTTTAGACCAAGAAGAAGGTGTAAACCCCAGAAGACGTTTTTGCCTGGATACCTGTGAAGATCCGGGTTAGAACTGATCTTCATTACCCCATTCTTGCCGTAAGAGGCCACTAACGGGATCGGGTGGTCAGGCTCGCTGACTTGGTTCACACATGTCATCGCACCCCAATTGCGTAGATCAATGCTCATGCTGTTGATCACTGGATTGTCTGGTCAAGACTCAATTATTTACAGACTGTCGTCATATAGCTGGGATACTGCTAAATGCGGAGTAAAACTAAACTCACTCACTCACACTTAATATTAGTTCATTATAACCGTAGTTAGTTAGTTGGACTAAACTATACACCAAGAGGAAGGACTGATAACAGTTTGAGATAATTGTTGGTTTGCTACAAGTCTCTTCACTGTATTTGACACTGACCCGTATCTATGCTACCAAAAGTAGAATCTAACTTGTAAATGAGTCCAATGCAAATGGCAACTGTGGCCGCCCTCCCACGCAGGGACTGCAGAACAATGTTAGCAACAGTCTGTGGTGAAAAAGATCTGTTTTGAAACAAGACACTCATCATGATATTTCCACACATCAAATTATGTTTCGCCCTACTTGTCACCAGAGAAAGATGGAACTTTTGCTGCCTGTGTTAAAGTGACAGGTGCTTGATTGCCTGAACTATTTGAATTTGACCGAGTACAATAATCTTCAACTTTGACCTTGGTCTGAATGTACAGAGATGCCAACCCTTATGCTTTGGGCGTAATTATTACGATTTTGATCATTAAATTACGCCATTACACTTAATCTGTGAACATTACGCTTTTCTACCCGTTTTGCGAAAATCAATAAAGTGGATAAAATTTCACAGGGAATATTTTTCGTAACGCACTAGTGCAGGGGTTCAGAAATGGCCTCACACCGAGAGGAATCGCTTACTCTTAGCATTGCTGCTCATTCAAATTAACTTGTAAGGAATTAAAGTATTTTGTGTCACCTGACCAACAATTTTTGATGTATGGAACTGCATAATGATTGGTCGCATGTATTTCTGTCTAGAATCTTTCCTATTCATGTGAATAAACCTTTTAAAAGTAATTTTTATAAAGTTATCACCTTTCACTATGTAAGTGTTTTAAGTATTACACTTTTTAGGTCCAAAAAACACTTTTTGACCTCCACTAGGCTACCCCCACCGCCCCGATACCTGAAAGAAATAAGACTGAGCAACTAATCCATTAACATAAAAGCTCTTTATGTTTCATAAGTCAAAGAGACCAACTATGAAGGACAAAATTGACAGTTGTGCAAATAGTTGCATATGCAATGTATATTCACGTGCATAGGGGGCAAAGAAACTGAAAGGAGAGAATGCGAGGACAATACTTAGGTATCAACCCTAAGAATAAACCAGGCAAACAAGGCATATTCCTATATTCATTTAAAATTCCACTTGGGGTATGACAGCAAGGTCACACGAATGTTCTGTGTGGGAAATATACTGATGGTAAAAGGTTAAGCAACTCCTATGTTAATGTTGATTTATTCGTAGGTAATTAGATTTGAACCTAATGCGTTTGCACATGAAAAGATACATGAACACTTCACTCAAACACACCCAACAGAATGAGACCAGATATCATGCTGCACGTGGATAGTGAAATCCGCGAAGGCACTCGCGACTTGCACAATACAAGTTTGATGACTGGTCTTGTACACGGCAAACATGGCACGGATGCTTCACGATGGCAGATGATAGGCATGAGGGAAGCAGGCATGTCCCTGATACAAATTCCAGGGCACTTTCACGTTAGTTAGTCAGTGGTCAGCAGACTGTTATCAACACACAGAGTGACAGGTGATGTGAAGGACATACCTCGCCATGGTCGACCCAGGAAGACCAGTGCACGTGACGATCGTCGTTTGGTTGAATGGCGAAAGATAATCCTTTGTCTTCTGATCGTCTCTTCTTGGATGCCAGCAATCCTGGCCTTCTCATGGTATACATCAGCCAGCACTTCGTCCTTTCTCCAGGAGCCTGGCCACTTTATGGTTTTGGTCCTCAAAATCCATTAGATTAGGTTACTGTGAGTGAGTGAGTGAGTGAGTTTGATTTTACGCCGCTTTAGCAATATTCCAGCAATATCACGGCGGGGGACACCGAAATGGGCTTCACACATTTTACCCATGTGGGGAATCGAACACAGGCCTTCGGCGTGACGAGCGAACGTTTTACCCACTAGGCTACCCCACCGCCCCTAGGTTACTGTGGGTGGCTGCATGGGTATCTCATTCTGATAAGGTTGTGAAGTGTGACACAGGTTGTGATGATCTTTCTGTGTGTTTCTGTTCTCTTATTCATGGTTCTGAGCAAGACTCTGAATGTGTGTGCCAGAATGCCAAAGACGTTCTCAACTACACGTCTGGGTCAGGTTCCACAAAAAGATCGTAGCGCTAAGATGATCGTAACTCCCATAATTTAACATAGACTTACGACTGACGTAGCACTACGATCGCTTTGAGGAACGGGGCCCTGGTTCTTGAGAGTAATAATTAAATAATCTCTCATGTTGTTCCATATTTCGAATAGAAAATTGGTTCATCAGACGCTTGCTGAGGCCAAAAGCATTGTCCCCGGCTATGAAATTAAGGCACAGGAACATCCCCTAGGTAGACGCTTTTCATCAGGCGGGTTGGATGTGTTGTTCTCACTCTCCAGACCTTCCTGTAGTTCTGATCTATTGTAGATACTGGAATCATTGCTGGAGCCATCATATGATCAGTCCTCAGAAACATGTAGTTTGCGTCAACTGGAAGGCCATGAGCACAATGGAGAAGAAGCCCTTGTAGTTTGTGTAAACAGAGCCAGTGTTCCAGGGTCAGTTGACTGCCACATGCTTGGCATCCAGAGCACCACAGCAGTGTAGGATCAGCCATCTCTTCTCAACTTGAACCTTGGCACCCCACCCTTCAGTTGTAGTTGGACACTGAATCGCCTCAGCAGCAAACTCAGCTTTGATTGCATCGCAAACTTCTCTGATGATGAGTAGTGGTTTACTCCTGATGGCGAAAAGAACAAAATACAGATAAAATGATAAGGGACAGCAACATAAATGTGTAAGTGACCAGAATCAGGATGGCCTGATGAAATCAAGTGGTAATGTGAATATGTACTTGTACGCTCAGGATACACTGAACAAGAGCGTTATGCAAATGAGTGTGTGCTTCTGGGTTAATGACACACACATAGACAGAGATGCCAACCCTATTTTGGGCCTAAGTGTAATACTGGAGGTCAAAAAGTGTAATTTGGACCTAAAAAGTGTAATACTTAAAACACTTACATAGTGAAAGGTGATAACTTTATAAAAAATACTTTTAAAAAGGTTTATTCACATGAATAGGAAAGATTCTAGACAGAAATACACGTGACCAATCATTATGCAGTTCCATACATCAAAAATTGTTGGTCAGGTGACACAAAATACTTTAATTCCTTACAAGTTAATTTGAATGAGCAGCAATGCTAAGAGTAAGCGATTCCTATCGGTGTGAGGCCATTTCTGAACCCCTGCACTAGTGCGTTATGAAAAATATTCCCTGTGAAATTTGATCCACTTTATTGATTTTCGCAAAACAGGTAGAAAAGCGTAATTTTCACAGATTAAGTGTAATGGCGTAATTTAATGATTAAAATCGTAATAATTACGCCCAAAGCATAAGGGTTGGCATCTCTGCATAGAACAATAGGAGTGATACCTGAAAGAGTGAGTGAGTTTTAGTTTTACGCCACTTTTAGCAATATTCCAGCAATATCACGGCGGGGGACACCAGAAATGGGAATCACGCATTGTACCCATGTGGGGAATCGAACCTGGATCTTCGGCGTGACGAGCGAACGCCTTAACCACTAGGCTACCCCACCGCCCCGATACCTGAAAGAAATAAGACTGAGCAACTAACCCATTAACATAAAAGCTCTTAATGTTTCATAAGTCAAAGAGACCAACTATGAAGGACAAAATTGACAGTTGTGCAAATAGTTGCATATGCAATGTATATTCACGTGCACAGGGGCAAAGAAACTGAAAGGAGAGAATGCGAGGACAATACTTAGGTATCAACCCTGAGAATAAACCCAGCAAACAAGGCATATTCCTATATTCATTTAAAATTCCACTTGGGGTATGACAGCAAGGTCACACGAATGTTCTGTGTGGGAAATATACTGATGGTAAAAGGTTAAGCAACTCCTATGTTCATGTTGATTTATTCGTAGGTAATTAGATTTGAACCTAATGCGTTTGCACATGAAAAGATACATGAACACTTCACTCAAACACACCCAACAGAATGAGACCAGATATCATGCTGCACGTGGATAGTGAAATCCGCGAAGGCACTCGCGACTTGCACAATACAAGTTTGATGACTGGTCTTGTACACGGCAAACATGGCACGGATGCTTCACGATGGCAGATGATAGGCATGAGGGAAGCAGGCATGTCCCTGATACAAATTCCAGGGCACTTTCACGTTAGTTAGTCAGTGGTCAGCAGACTGTTATCAACACACAGAGTGACAGGTGATGTGAAGGACATACCTCGTCATGGTCGACCCAGGAAGACCAGTGCACGTGACGATCGTCGTTTGGTTAGAATGGCGAAAGATAATCCTTTGTCTTCTGATCGTCTCTTCTTGGATGCCAGCAATCCTGGCCTTCTCATGGTATACATCAGCCAGCACTTCGTCCTTTCTCCAGGAGCCTGGCCACATTATGGTTTTGGTCCTCAAAATCCATTAGATTAGGTTACTGTGAGTGAGTGAGTGGGTGAGTGAGTGAGTGAGTTTGATTTTACGCCGCTTTAGCAATATTCCAGCAATATCACGGCGGGGGACACCGAAATGGGCTTCACACATTTTA